GTAGTTATTTACCGTTACTATAATTATTTTGGCGTGTCCGGAGCAGTTGGCATCTCTGTAAAAGCTCCTATACAAAAGAAAAAAATTTCAAAAATAGTTATTTAACTCAGCATGAAGTACCAAGCATTAAGTAATTCAGCAATTTATTAAGAAGAATATTAAAAACCCATTTCATGGTGAAAGTAACATTTTGCTTGCTGTTTCTTCACAAAAAAAAAGCTTTTACACTAGGTTATATATTTTTTTCGCTTTGCAGAAGTCTAAACTATTTTTTTTTTTAAATTTTTACAAATTGTTTTTAAATTTTTTTCCAATTCCATATAAACATAATTTTGCATTAGTTCGTTAAAAGTTATTTTACTCACTATATAGAAATTCGCAGCAAATAATTCTCATTCTAATTAGGGTAACTCTCATAAAAAAATTTCCTTAAATAAGTTAAAATATAAATAAAAGTGTTCAATAAATAAAAGTGAATCAATGAATAAAATCCGATAAAATTATAAGTATCATATTGAAAATAATAAATATAAAAGTTTTTTTTTTTTAATTGTTAATGTATGTTTGTTAAAAAAAATTTAAGGAGCTCTTGGAAAAAGCTTCTCTTGCAAACTTGGTGGTGATTCAGAAAAGGCGGAGAAGGTTCTATCTACATAATAAAAAAATAATTAAAAATTTCATTGAGGGCTGTCCAAAAATGATAGAGGGGAAATAACAGCAATATTTTTACATTATTTGTTTTGTATATTTCCAGCTTTTTCTTCCAAATAAATACGCATCTTAATTATAATTAAGCTTATAAAATGTCAATAAAAACATTTAAAAATAAATTTTGTTTTATAAAGTGTGTTGTTTCTGAATCGTAATAATTTGTACACATAACATAGAGTTGCATTAAACTAGGGTATTGGGAAAAGGGGTTGGTTTTGGTGAAATGTGTGACAAAGGGTGACAAAGAAAGTAAAAAATAATCATAATTATTGTGACATTATTTATGAACCTTTATCAGAATTAACTTTTATTTTATAAACATGAAGTTTTTATAATTAAAAATCATTTATTTTTATGCCCAGACTCAATCTTTTACAACTTTTTGTTTTTATGTCAAGTATTTTACGATTTAATTAATTTACTATTGGTGGAAAACAAACCGCTGAAAAAGAATAATTTACGAATAAGACTTTCTTTTAACAAAAGAATTAGGCTTTTATTCCTCATAAGGTTATGTAGGATGCAGATATGAATGTGAAAATTCTGTGGGAAAATGTTTAAAAATTACTTATTAATTTACGAATTATACATAAATTTTAATTTAAACAAAAAACAAAACAAAAAAAAACGAAGATTTAGAATTGAATAATTTTGATAATTTTTTTTTTNCAAAAGAATTAGGCTTTTATTCCTCATAAGGTTATGTAGGATGCAGATATGAATGTGAAAATTCTGTGGGAAAATGTTTAAAAATTACTTATTAATTTACGAATTATACATAAATTTTAATTTAAACAAAAAACAAAACAAAAAAAAACGAAGATTTAGAATTGAATAATTTTGATATTTTTTTTTTTAAAAAAAAGGGGGGGGGGCTGGACATTTTATGTATCTTCGGATATAAAAATACGTGACTTTAATAGGTCATAATTCTACTGCTAATAGTTTTTGCTGAATTGAAATTCACGATTCGAAAGAAAAAAAAAGCTTCAATTTGAATGCAAAATAAGTGAGAAAATGATCTCCGCATCGAGATAAAAATGTTCCTAAAATATTTCTTTTAAAAACGTATGTTTTTTATCGACTTATTTTTGTGTAAAAGCGAGGGCAACGAGAAGTTTCTTCTGAAAGCCACAAGAAGAAGAGACTGCCAAACTAGTTATTATTATTTTATTTTCCTTTTTTGTAAAATTCAGAGATTTATTTGGCTTCCTTAAAAGGTTGCTTAAAAGCTACTTTTCGCTTTTTTTATAATTTTTTTTACCTAATTTATCGTTTTTGATTTACATAATGCAATTTCAAATCTAAGGTAATTACAAATATTAACAAAAAAATAAGTCTTGCAATTTTTAAAAACATTTTTATTAGCTAATACACTTAAAAGCTTTTATTATTTTTTTTTCTTTCTCCTTTTAGATATTTTGAATAACTTATTCTAAGAATGTTCGTGTTACATTTTTAAAAGTTCGAACAGTTTTATTTTTAGTAGTTCAAATCTGATATCGCTTTAACAAAACTAATTATACTACCATACTAAAATATTAAATAGAGATAGTTACTAAAATAGAGATAGTCTGTAGTCTATTTTAGTAATTCTGCATTCAGAAGATGTGAAATTTCGAGAATATAATAGGCAACATTTTTTGTATTAAATTTTAATTATTTTCAACGAAAATAATCCATGACAATCATTGAACATAAATTCTTTCTTATCGTATATAGATATAAATTTGATTTTGTATATATTAATTTATCGATGTAAGTAATCAAATTTATGAATACAAATATATTTGGATATAAATTTGAATTATGAGTGGGTTAATATAATATCATTCTAAGGTTTAGCTTTCGCCGCATTCTTACGCAAAATTGAAAGTACATACATACGTACAAGATTAATTCTTTCTAACAATAAGCTTATCAAAAATGTATTCATTTTGCATCGTTTAAAACGATGGTTTTTTTTTAATTTATTTTTTTTTAAATTTATTTTTGAAAAATTTATTGGCAGCTTTTGTTTAAATTGAATTAAAAAAGTTCTAAATAAGAATATTTTTTCTAAAAGAATTGATTAAAAAATATTTAAAGTATAATATAGAGCTTTTTTTCGTAAAGGTTTGCTAATTTATTAATTGATTTGAAAGTAAAAAAATATAAAACTTTTTTTTGGAAAATTGTTAACAAAGTTATAAAAACATATATTAGAAAATATTTTACTCTTTTTTTATTTATTTTTTTTTTTTTAAGGGATTAATTGGGAAGTTTTAAATTTTTTTTTATTTTACATTATACAAGGCCTGTTTTATGGAAGAAGGGGTTAAATAATCTTGATTAAGTTAAAAAAAAAAAAAAATTTTAATGTCAATAATGTTGATTTTAAAAACAGGTAATTACTAAAATCGAAAGTTTCACCCGACATTCACTTTCTTTGAATTCGTCACTTTCTTAAATTATTTATTTATTTATTTTTATGAAATGTAGCCCTTTTATCGAGTAGGAATTAAAATTACAAACATATAGAAAATTATTAAAAAAGAATTTTGAGAATATTTTATGTATTTTTTTTTTCAAATTGATTAGGTAGTTATAAAAATATTTTTATTTTATGTTACACAAAATATTTTTTTCTTTGGAGGGTGAAAATCGTGATATTTTTATTAACGAAACAGAAAAAAAATCATTAATGTTGATTTGAAAGAAACAGGTAATACATAAATAAAAGAAAATTGCTGCCATCGCAGTCACATTCGCAACGATATTTTTTTACGAAATGTAGCCCTGTTAGGAAATCGACTTTGGTATTCCGATTTCTTAAATATAAATGAGTAGGAATTAGAATGACGCAACCATCGATTGCGTCTCTTTTTCTTCTAGACGGACATTCACCTCTTGTTATTCTTCGTAGCGCCACCTACCAAAGGAAGAGAATTGCATTCAAGGTCTCGTCTATTTTCCTCATAAAATATCCTCCAAAGGTTATTATTTTTTTTCCTGCAATAAAATAAGCTCAACTAAATTAGTAATCCAAAAGAATGACCCAAAAGAAAGAAGAAAAAAAAATATTGGACTTACATTTAAGACTTTATCCAGCTATGACGGTTAATTTAAAATTGTTTTATGTTGACAATCATCATAGCCACACCACCTACGATTACTATTATGTAGATAAGCGTGATATAATTGATTACAATAATAAATTACTCTGTAGTCGAGATTAAAGTTTAATATAAGTAGTAAATTATAATAAAATATTTTATACTACACTGGCTATGATGGTTGTAAACAGTGGCCATCATAACCAACTGAAAATGACGAAAACTAACTGTTAAACTTCTATGCAAATCAGGATAATGTAATTGATTACAAATAATAAATAGCTTTGTAATCGTAATCGCAGTCACATTATAAATTATAATAAACTGTTTTATATGTCTCTGTCTTGGGAGTTATATTAAAAAAAATTGTTTATACTAAACAACAAAAATCATAAACATGTAAAAATCAAGAGAACTACCTACGATAAACTCTTATGTAGATCAGAGTAATAAATAACTAAAAAAAATTTTTTTTATCATAGCTAAACATTAGGTTCTTTTAAATTTTTTTAAAGCAAAACAAAAACCTTCAGAAATGAAGAAAAATCGAGTAAACCTCCTACTATTTAACCCTTTATCTAAAGTGAAACAGTAATGTAATTGATTTTAAGAATGAATCACTTTATAGTAAAAACTACTCGATTTCATAATTTAGTATTAGTTTTATAATTATAAATTTATTAAGGAAATAATTGTCGCTGATGATCACAATTAAAATTAATAATGATTGTTTGCAATCTAACGTGATCTAGCCATTGATTGCAATGATAAATTACTTCGTTTTGGATTTGCTTGTTATCGCAGCTTAATATTTCTAACTTCGATCACAAATGTAATAATAAATTATGTTTGCTTATAATAAAATTATAATTATTATTCTCTGCCTTTACGTTTACGAGTAATTGATTACAGATATTAAATACCTAATAATCAAGATTACTTGTTATGTAGTTCAATATTCACCGTCATTACGATTACAAATGTAGTAGTAAATTATGATTCTTTGTAATCATAATTTAAAATTATTATTGTTAATTATGATTGTTTGCAATTGATTGTATTTTGACAAATTCTGATTTAGAATAAGTTTTGTTTAATTTCGATTTGGAATGAGTACATTTTTTTCTTGATAGCTGTGAAATTAATTGTTTAATCTGTAAATGAATTCTCTCTAATTAAATTATTTTGTTGCAGTAGATAATACATGTGACAGTACAAGAGGAGATCCCAGAGAAGAAGAATTAATGGCTGAAGCCCTACTACAGGGTGAAGCTAAAACATTGCTACACAATATTCTTCAGCCTACCTACTCTATTTACGCCCCTCCAGGTAATTAGTCTTATTTATAAATCACTCAGTATTTTTTATTGCGTTAAAATGAAGGAGTCATTTTACCGGAATCCTTTAATTCCTAACATTTTTATAACGAACCCTTCAATATTTGGATTGCATTAAAATGAAGGAGTCATTTTACGGAAATCCGTTCATTCCTAACATTTTTTAACCAACCTTTCTCAAAAAAGAATTTTTTTTTTCTCGTTGAAACGGATCTTTCTCGAAATATTTTATCGCCGAAGATTTAAAAAATAAAATTAAAAAGCTATAATTAAAAACAAATATATTTCTTTAAAAGGTTTGCCACTATCAAACGTGTATACTGACTATCAATGAACTTGCAAAAAACAGCGAACTTTGTTTTAAAAGGGAAATTTAAAGATAAAAGATATACAAATGTCAGATAGGTTTGTTTTTAGTTTGTATTTGTTATCAGAATGTACTATGTCAATAAAAAAATTTTTTTTCCCTTTACGTGAAAATTTAAGGTTTGTGAAAGTACTCTGTCAAAATAGCTTCGAAACCAACAGTCGAATTTGAAATCTATGAACCATTTGAAACCCCCATTACTCATTATTGAGTGTTGTAACAAAATAAAAACACCGCTGAGAATCCGTTCTTCATTTATAAATAAACCTGACGACAAGGTAGGTTAACACCGATTGAAGACGTTCTGTGAAATAAGTTCGGAATGAAGATAAGTGCACTTTATATAATTAGCTTTTCTTTGCAAATATTTGATAGTTATAAACTCATAAAATTTGAATTTTTGTCTCATTTGATGATGATATGTCTTTTTGTTCTGGTGGGTCATTTCTGAGATTTCATTTTGCTCAAAAATGAGTATAAACTCTTTCAATTATGAGAATGTCACAATAATGAATGCATGAGTTTTGAAATTCGACTACATTTGTTTCGATACTTTTTCGCTTTATTTTGAGAAACCTTTTCAACAATGAAGTTCCCCCCCCCCCAATTTTTTAAAACACTCTCGAATTCCCTGCTTTGTTTCCTTTTGAAAGATAATTAAATAGTGCATTTTTTTTCAATATTCAAATTAAATAATGCAATTTCAAATTAAATAATGCATTTGTTTCACTATTTTTAATATTTTATATTTCATAACCGTCGTTGAATAGACGACCCAGTTCTGAGTCTGAGTTCGTAAAAGTAGCCTTGTTATTTTGAACCCAATCCTGAAGATGAAGTAATTCCGGGATCAAGCATTAAGATAAAAAAAAAAGCTTTCTGTTTGATGGAACTAACACGTATTCGCTTTACATGGCGAAGAAAACCACTTAAACCTTCCACGGTTAGCCCGACATCAAGGGATTTTTAGCCTATGATCCGCCCACCACTGAGAATAATTTTGTCATTATTGTGATCAGTGCGAACCAGGAGCAGAATTCGTATCAACCGACCTACGCTGGGTTTCGAACTTGATCGCCTCATTGAGAGGCGAGTGCTCTATCCTCTGAGCCACCGCGACTCAGTTTCAATCTATCTTTTTATTTTATTTTATAACCGTCGTTGAACAGCCGACCCAAATTAATGGGTTTACGACTACTAATGTTCAACTCCGTAGCCTTGTAATTTTGAACTAATCCAGAAGACAAGGAAACTCCTGGATCAGTACCCCCAGAGGTATTGATTTGTTATGGGAACATGGAGGACTTTGAGACTCGACAGATTTAACGTGCATCAGTCACCATTTACTACACGGGGAGTCTTCGGCCGGCGAGGATCGAACCCACGACCTCTTGTACTTGGCCCAGCGCCCTACCGACCAGGCTATCCCGGCCCAGTTTCAATCTATCAATATCTTTCACGATAAACGTTTTGTTACTTCAGAAATTAAAGTGAAAAAAACCAAGTTCACGTATTGACTGCAATGGGAATTTCGCCATTTTCTTTCGTCATATGAAGTATTACACAAACATTTATTTACACTGTCTTAGTAAAGATTTCAAACATTTTGTTAGAAATATATGCATAGAAATAAGCACATTCCTAGTTATTAAAATAAATAATCTTCTAATATAGCGTTCTTCTAGAAGCGTTACAATTTTTAATTGCATTGTTATATAAATTTCCTAAGTTATTTTGAGAAAACGAGTTGTGAAGAGAACCACATTTTTTACCTTTTCTTTTATTAAGCTATCGGGGTCTTATTTTCCAGATCGAATATTTTGAAGATAAGAAACCGATCAAAAAAAGAATAATATCGTTTTTGTGCCTGATTACATATTAATTCATCGATATCTCCGCCTCATTCACATAATTGCTTTGGACCATTAAATAAATAAAAAATACTCTGAACAAACCAAAGTGCAAATCTACTCTTATTCTAATGATGCGTAATACTTTCAGGCTTTTATGATTTAATGGGAAAGGCTTTTATGAAATTTATTATAATTCTATCTATAATTTCGAGAATGCACCATAAAAGACTTAAATCTAATCTAGATCTTAATTTTGCATATTTAAAACTCGTAAGAAACTCTCTAAAAGCTATTAATAATTTTCTGCATCTAAATTTAACTTAGAAATCGGGTTCTTTCTGTCAGATAGATTCCTGTTTCTGAGAAGGAAAAAAAAAGGGTGAGAAAGAAGTTATGTGTTTTAGGGTAAGGGGCAGAATGAATTAAGTGATCGATACCGTTTTCCAAACTATAAAATTCGTGAAGAGACTTTCTTTTTAAAAGGATCCGTTTTTAATATAAAATAATTTGTTAAAAATTGTTCTTTCATTATATTGCTCCATTTATTTTATTTGGGTTTTCAAAAAGTCTCTTTACATACTGATAAGTGCGTATTTTCTTAATTTAATAATCAGCAGTATATTAACGCAGCGTTTACGAAATTCAAATAAGAGCAATTTTAAGATGTATTTATTGGTTTATTCCATAAAGGTAAAACTATGCATAAATTTACTATTAAATAAAAATAATTCATATTTAGATAAAGGTACTTAATTAAAAATTCTACAACGCTGAAATTTTATAATGAAATTAAATTGATTACTTGAAATCTGTGTTCTTGGTGAAATTAGAACTAGCCTTTTTATCATCTAGTTTTTGAATCGCAACTTTTTACTAAAGCATGTCAGTTTTGATGGTTTGTTCTTTTGCTATCTACTAAGATTAAGAATGAAGAATAAAGGGATGTAAAAGATACATTTCTTTGCTTTTTTTTTTTTAATTCCTTGTTTCTATTATATCGTTTTTTTCTTTTATTTATTGACTTGTTTAAGGAGTAGAAAAAATTATCGTAGCTAAATTTTACAACTCTTGGTAATTAAGGGGAAAAAATTTATTTTAGATAGATTACGAAAGTTCTCAAAAATCTCATTTTTATTTATCTACTGTACGACCATAATCTTTTTTTTAAAGGATCTACTATGCAGCCTGCAATAATCAAAATTATCTATTATATGTAGACAAACTATTGTAGAAAGAGAATCGATAAAAAGGTGGTTGATGTGGTTTTTGCGCAATCTAACAACCCTTGTTACGAATGAAAATTACGGAAACGGAATTCAAAGGCGTATCTGTATTTGATCGCCAAACGATTGCAGAAACGGCTTCTTTCTGGAATCCCAGGACGAAAAGTTTTCAAGGCTATTGCAGCGAGGGGAATGCCCGCTCTAGCGCATAACACGCACTACCTCTGATTGGTTGAGCCATCTGTAGTGGTGTGAGGGGCTAGAAGCCTACTTCAAGGACAGAACAATTCTTATTTTAATAGAAAGTATTATCCGCGTGAGGCTCAGATTCTTTTACATTTTAGACAAATAGTCCGTGCTTTTTTGACTGACTATTCAAGATTATGAATTAGCATAAAAGAATTTTTTGTTGTTGATAAAATTATGAATTCGACTGCTTAAAGCCACTCAATGTTAATTTCTAGTCTTTTTCCTCCATTAAAATTAACTATTTGCTCTTTAGGGAAAGAATTGACAAATGTATATTGATTTAATGTAGACGTTGATTAATGTTTGTCAATAAAAGCAAGAATTTAAATGATTAAAGCTGTTAAATGTTCTTTAAAATATTCTAAAGTAAGTCATTAAAATTCTGCTCTTCACAATTTTGTCGGATTAAGAGAAAAGGCAAATATTCGACGATTTATTTACATAAACTATTCCATTCATAATGCTCTCTAAGTGTTGAGGATTAAATTATAGAACTTTAATATTATAAATAGTATTTATATGCAATGTTTTAATCATCCATTTCGTGTTGTCCTTACTAAATTTGAAGAGTTGATTCGGCATACTATTTAAATATATATATATAGTTAACATGGTACTCATAAACAGGGTTTAAAACACTAACCCAACCCGGGTGTTTTTTTTTTCTTTTCTAGATATTACCAAGAATTAGACTTTCGAGATTTTATCTTTTATTTAAAATGGAACAATTTTTATTCAAAAGAAAACTTTGATTGCAAAGGAATAGTTTAATAAATTCTTAAAATGGAAAAAAAATTTTTTTTTTAATGAAGAAAAATATTAAAAAAAAAAAATCTTTCTTCATTAACTTTTTCGTACAAGTTGTTATCAATTTTTTCTGGAATTAATTTTTATTATTCACCTTTTAAGGGGGAACAACACAGAAGTCTGTAAATAAGGATTTTTTTAACAATTTTTATAAACTGAATACATTTTTTTAAAATTTTTAAAATCTTTTTGTACCTATTTTAATCTTCATTTTATAATGTTAAAAATACAAAAATTCACGAACTTAGCTTTATATATTGTAACGTTCATAACTTATTTTTCTGTACTCATAAGTTGAAAAAGAAATCATCTAAATTTGATTCCGTTTTAATTTTTTTAAATTACATGAAAGTAGTTTTCGCTGCACGTATGATTTTTTAAATTTTTTTTTGTTGCACTAAAAGACTATGTTAAAGAAAAGAAAACATATTAAAAAAAGAAGATATAAGTTACATTTTTGTAGATTACTCATAACCAGTCATTAAAATTAAAA